CACGCACTGATGAGGAGCTTAGAAATTTCTGGTTATCTCCCTTGCTACAAGGTCGAATGACGTCATTATCTTAGTTTGGACATGCGCATATTGTTTGAGACTGGTTTGCTAAGCTGGTTCCCGTCTCCCTATGCGCGTCGTCAACTTGCGCCAATATCGTAATATTAGAGACGGGGCGCAGCTTAACTGGTTTGCCTACCCTAGAGCCTGTGCTCCGTCGCACTACTAGCCGATAGCAGGATATGGTACAGTCTAAGATTAGTTCTTGAAAACAGTTTCTTCCTTTTTACACAAAGTACAGCGCAGTGTCCGAAGTTTGCATGTAGACCCTGAAGGGGACGTAACTCAGTTTGAAATTACCGAATAAACTGGTTCCACTGTTGATACACGCCGCAAGTTTAGCGCTTTTTAGCCAGACAGGAGCACAGTCTAATGACCAAGCTGAATTACTTCCCTTTGACCACAAACTTCAAGCTCCTACCCAGCGCGTGACAACTTCGTTACACTCTATAGAGAGCTCCGGGAACGTACTATCGCTGTGAGGAGCTTGCACAAACTTCACCCAGTGGAATAAAATCGATTGAATTATCTCCCCTTGACCATGACACTGTCTGATCGTAGAACTCGATCAGTTCCATGTGTCATTCTTATTGTATCCATAAAAAAAACATTAAAAAAAGAAACTGTCTAGATCTAAACCTGTGTAGAAGGTTTTTACCTTGTTCGTAAATTTACAATATAGAGGGTATATGATTTTATTCCTCCATAGGAGAGTACAAGAAAGGTTATAAGTTAGCAGTGAAGAGGAGAGACTTTACATGGATTTAGAGTCACTTTGGAAGTTGCACATATCATATATCACAGATAGCTGGAACAGTTCTTGATCCTCATTGGACAGGGAAACGGGAGGCTGACAGGAAAGGAGAAAGCAAACAAGATCAGTGTCGGATCTATCTTGATGTCACATCACACTGACCACAGCATGTCTCGATACATGCATAAAGTCTCAACCTGACACAGGGCGTGTTAGAAGATTCTTGAACATTGCCTGTCTCCAGACTGCACACAAATGAACAATGAACTCACACTGTTTCTTAATGTTTGGGTGGGCTTTTGCTATGAACCAGGCTGGGTAAGGCTTTCTGGTGGAATGGATTTTCCTGAAATGTTTAAGGGCGTGATCAAGAGTTAAACGGGTATTCGATTCCTTCTCCTTGCGGTCACCAATGGCTTTCTTTACATTTTTCTTTCAGGAGCTTTGCACGGGAAACGTACCACTAACCATGAAAGCATGTAAGAAGGGTAGAGGCAGATACCATTTGCATTCATAGAACAGTTGTTCTTAAAAGCGAAGAGACGAGTTAAGAACAGCTGTCTGGCTAGAAAATTGTTTTGGCTGTTGCACAAGTTTCCAAGAAAGTACAATTCCTTTGTGTTCATTTGAGAGCCAAAGAAGGCCACCCTATTAGTGTATTACAGATGTCAGTCCTTGTTCTTCTAGGCAGGCCTTGGCACATCTTGAGGCAGAAGCGTTGCGATCTTTCAGGTGATAACTGTTTACCTTTGGATAAGTTGGCCCAAAGGTCACAGCCAAAGAGCGCCCGGAGAAAGCTAACAGAACGAATAACATTTGCGCTCATGAGACGGATTTAAGACCTTTAGAGTGCAGCCAAATTTGGAAGCATGTCATTTATGAGCAAGCATTTTTGTTCTCTCCCAAGAATAGAAGTTGGAATTTAGTTCAACGCTTACGTGTTTTGTGTTCTTCGCCATGGCCATCTCTCTTCCATATAACTGTGCGTGATATTGAGCGTGTTTTGACTAATGGAATGTCATCACATAGCTCTTGGAAGTGGAGAAGGTGAACCGCCACTTTAAGCTGTAATTCTCACTTGCTCTTACCATCAGTAATTGGAGATAGGGTGTTATCAAACTGATAAGGGCGATATCGTCCAAATTGGTGCTGAGATATGGAGATCAAGAACTATGGATCCTGTCTTTGCTGCTGACAGAATCTTGAGAAGATCGTTGATATAAACCAAAAACAGTTTGGCAGAGAGCACACTTCCTTGTCTCACACTTTTCTAAAGGTTGAACCGATGAGACTGGGGGTTGTTGGCCAGGACACAGCTTTTCATTTCAGAGTAAGCGTAAGTACGTCATTGCAGTACTACAACTTCTCGTGACGTAGACAAGCAGCTAGTTTTTGTGAGAATCCGTCTGACACAAACTAGCGACTTTCGGACTGTAATCCTGACAGCTAACCGACTGAGCTACGCCAACGTTCGTCATGCCTACGACGTTACGGAACTGACGTCGAATAGGTGACGTACACTTACGAAGGTCAAAGGTGTCCATTCTTGTCCAATTCGTATTATTCCGGGACAAGGGTTACGGAAAGGGGCGAGTGGTGACGAATGCATGGTGTCATGACTCTAGTCTTCGGAAACAAGTGACCCCCATGCCATTTGGCACTCTCGTCCAATTCCGTAATCGACAGGATACCGAGTGGTGAGGGATGAGCCGATATGGCGCGAACGGCTAGAAGCATCAGACGTTGAATTCATGAGTACGCATGATTGACAGAGTTTTAATAATTTGTTGGGTGATTTTATCACAGAAAGGTGTGGGAGGGAAGACTGTAAGCATAACGTTGATCAGTTAGTTACTAGGAAGGCATAGACGTGACTACTGACGCCACCTGAATCATTAGGCCTACTGGCTTGAATTGAAATTCCATAACAGTTTCCCTGTAACCAAAACAATTTAAATGTAGCTGAAAATGTGAAGACAATAATATAAAAAAGGATACCCTGACAAGTGTATTTATTTGCACGCCGAGCGTCTCTTTGTCTCCAATTCTTGAAAATGCTTTAGAAGAGAGTACAATTCAACCAACCCCCCAATCCTTGCCAATATAAATCTAATTGATTTATTGCAAAAGGAGTCCAACGTGAGATGGTGTTCGGACTGGCAACGTTTAGATTAAGGTGGTCTTTCATATCACAATATATGAAAATATAAATGCTTTCATAAACTGTCGCAGCCGCAGGCTATATTTAGGAAACAAATATTGAAAACTTTCAACATCGATGGGCTTTTTCAGTGACATCGCGTGTAGCTTTTGGATCACTGAGAGGAGCATATGCACACTCGATGACCCCTGACGTCACAGGGCATTGTTTTGCCGGGTTTTTTTTTTATGTCAATGGTAGGAATGTTTTCTTTTTTACGATATGACTTTATCGTGATAGTTATCTTTTATCTACATGTGCGTTTTTCGTTAGATTCTTTCCAAAAAGTGTGTAAATTTCGTTTTTTGGTTCAGCTCTCAATATTCGACCAGATATGTGTTCAATTGTCAAATGAGAGTACAGATCACACGTTGTGGAATATTAAGCCTATATGGCCTATATTGCATGTTCAGGATGACGCTGTGTCCTACGTGGCGATCCAATTATTCCCATTGATGTTCTATAGGGTTCAGATCTGGCAAGTTAGTGGACCACGATAGAACCTGTATATATTGTGGTTCTGTAGGAATGGTGCTGTATTATATGGGGACTGCCTAGCATTGTCGTGTTGAAAGATACATTTAGCATGGTTTGTAATGGGAACAACGTAAGGCTGCAAGTTGGTTTTCACCACAACATCGTTGGGCCCTTATGTTGCCGTGCACTTACATAGGTTTCTTCTGCCAGTGTAGGAGATTTCCACCTACATCATTACGCTGCCAACACCAATCCTCTCAGACTTCTTGCATGCAGTTGGCGGCATTAAGGGGATGAAACAGCGCCTGGTCCCCTAGGAGTCAGTATAATGTGTCCGAGTCGGGTATCCTGTTAAACTGCAGCATGGTATCACAGAGGGTTAGCACTAGTTAAAAAAGTTATAACATGTCAGTCATCGGTTAATCATATATAAGTGAGTGAGTATGGTTTTATGCTGCCTTAGCAATATTTCAGCAATGCTGTCAGGGACAAAAGACAGAGTTTCACATATTGTGCCCATTTGGGAAATCGAACTGGAGAGGATAAGCATTTTAGCTACCCCACTACCCTTTGTCATCATAGAGATATGGCCAGCTCACATGATATCCACCGCATGAGAAAAAGACAAAGAGGAAGGTGAAATACTTAAGCATGTGACATCATACTTCTAATAAGAACAATTTTCATGAAGATCTTCACCATATAGTATACCGAACTGCAAAAGAATCGTGGTTTTTCTTTTGCTGTTCAGTATATATACTGAGGTCAAGTGTCTATACTTCACAGGATGCTATGCACAACCTCCCTCTATCACCTGTGAATGCTATGTGTTGTAGGAGTGTTTGTTTGTTGTTTAACACCGCACTCAGCGATATTCCAGCTACATGACGGCGGTCTGTAGACAATCGAGCCTGGACCAGATAATCCAGTGATTGACATCATGAGCATCGATCCACACAATTGAGATCGATGACATGCATCAACCAAGTCAGCCAACCTGACAATCCGATCCAGTTAGTCGCCTCTTACATGTTGCAGATGGGGCTTGGGTCTACTGGGGCTGCAACACTCATGGATGTCAGTTAAGCAATACACCATGTATGAACATTGTACGAACTCCACCACTGCCTGACATAGAGGCAACATTTAGTGAAGACAAATGCAAGGCTATGGTACATGCTGCACACGTTGTCAAGTGAGAAACATTGCCATTCCTGGGAAGACAGATGAGTGCTCATAGGTCTGACCACTCACTGGCTTGCCTCTCGCTGGAACCAGGCCTTGATACGATTTATTTAAAAAACAAAACAACAATCACACAGCATCCTATGTATTCAATGGTGACAAAGGACACGAGTGAAATCCTTTCAGTTTGAATCATAGTATGGGTGTTTGGCAGTGGGATCCAGCACTAGATACTCTAGCCAAGATCACTGACATGCCTCCTGATACTGCTGCCGGCACAAAACGACATTCACACACTGCTACCAGTCAAAACATGACAAAATATACACTTCATTTTTATTTCATGCCAATCCAATACATATTTACAATCCTATACATATTTACACTGTTAGATACAACTAAGCAACATGTACACAATATACAAAAGCTGTTCATTGGTGCAAGTCAACCAGGGTCCTTGTGAGGGCATGTTCGTTTTGTGTGACCTGAAATAACAAAACACATGTTAGTACATTCAGTGTTGCTCGGTTACGTGCAAAACCAGAGTGCCTGAGGTACAAAAGACACCTTTTCAATATCCGAAAGTAAGAAAACTTCATGGAAGTTTCTACAGCTTCTCATCCACACAGCTCCCAACAAACAACCATGCTGAGGAGTGTGCTCACCTTCTACACCACACAGCTCCCAACAAACAACCATGCTGAGGAGTGTGCTCACCTTCTACTCCACACAGCTCCCTACAAACAACCATGCTGAGGAGTGTGCTCACCTTCTACTCCACACAGCTCCCAACAAACAACCATGCTGAGGAGTGTGCTCACCTTCTACTCCACACAGCTCCCTACAAACAACCATGCTGAGGAGTATGCTCACCTTCTACACCACACAGCTCCCAACAAACAACCATGCTGAGGAGTGTGCTCACCTTCTACTCCACACAGCTCCCAACAAACAACCATGCTGAGGAGTGTGCTCACCTTCCACTTCACACAGCTCCCTACAAACAACCATGCTGAGGAGTGTGCTCACCTTCCACTCCACACAGCTCCCTACAAACAACCATGCTGAGGAGTGTGCTTACCTTCTACTCCACACAGCCCACACTTCCTCTTCTTCCCTGATGGACCTCCAGCTTCTCCAGAGGCAGATCTCTTCCTCCCTCCTCCTCCATAGCCACCACTTGGACCACTCCACCCACCTCCTCCTCCACCACCACCACCGCCTGCAACATTATGGAGCTGTCATTAAAGACACAATGTGAAACAGTTTAAAACTTCTAGAGTGAGTTATCGGTTGACTAATAGTAACACTTGCTTAGGCATTAACTGTTTTCTTAGAAATGTTATCTTCGGACACAGCTTTGAACAGTTTTTCCTTTATGTCATGGCATGTTAACTTCATAAGGAAAGCCCATATGGCATTGGCCAGGTATAGAAATTTATTTGTATTGTCATTAGCCTACAAAAATAATCTGCTGCAGAGTTGCCCTCTACCTAATAGTAAAAGTGGTAGTCCATAAGGAAATGTCACTAGTGCATCCTGAATGTTACAAGCCTACATTTTTATTTATCACTGTGAGTGAGTGAGTGAGTGAGTGAGTGTGAATGTGTGTGTGATGAAACCCACAGCTGACAACTAGGTGAATCAACTCAACAGTGTGTGTGTGTGTGTGTGTGTGTGTGTGTGTGAGAAACCCACAGCTGACAACTAGGTGAATCAATTAACACAGCCAAGCGCAGTGCCTCACACAGTTCCATTGTTGTGTGTGTGTGTGTGAGAAACCCACAGCTGACAACTAGGTGAATCAATTAACACAGCCAAGCGCAGTGCCTCACACAGTTCCATTGTTGTGTGTGTGTGTGAGAAACCCACAGCTGACAACTAGGTGAATCAATTAACACAGCCAAGCGCAGTGCCTCACACAGTTCCATTGTTGTGTGTGTGTGTGTGTGTGAAAGCCACAGCTGACAACTAGGTGAATCAACTCAACACAGCCAAGCGCAGTGCCTCACACAGTTCCATTGGTGTGTGTGTGTGTGTGTGTGTGTGTGTGTGTGTGTGTGTGTGTGTGTGTGTGTGTGTGTGTGTGTGTGTGTGTGTGTGTGTGTGTGTGTGTGTGTGTGTGTGTGTGTGACCCACAGCTGACAACTAGGTGAATCAACTCAACACAGTCAAGCGCAGTGTCTCACACAGTTCCATTGTTGCCCGCAAATGCAGAGAGATGCTGATGTTCTTCATGAATAATCAGCTAATAAAAATGTATATCTTCCCTTTGCAGAAGAAAATTTGAGCTGATGGCTTCCTACCTCCTCCTCCTCCACTTGTGTCATCTGCCCACTGGAAGAAGTTACAGCCCTGGTCTCTGGGTTTGGGGCACCCATGGAATTGTCTCCCTTTGTTTGGACCTTCTTTCTGCACAGTGAGGCTGAAGGGAAAATTGATTAATTAAAATATCAAAAATAATTTGACCACTATTTTTAATTACTTGGTTACTATACTCAAATTTTAGAAATATGTTTGCATTTATTTTTGGTAAAATATCTCTTAAAAGTACTGTTGGTTCCATGAAATAAAGAAAGGTGAAATAAAAGATAAAGAATTCTTTGACTGAAACAGTCTGGCAGCAGGAAGGAATAAGAAGGTTCTTAAATATTTATCTTATTCCACATTAGCAAAATTTAGGCAGCAGATCCTAACTAATTAATAATAAAGCCCCTTACTATTAACTTTTCTGTTACCTGTTCTTAAAAATAATACCACAAGCCTCAAACTTGAGGTGAAACACTTGATATAGTACATGATTTTAAATGGCTGTATTCACAATACTTACAACTTTGCAGTCTCTCCACATCTGCATACAACAGCATCTCCATCCCCTGAACTTTGACCCCAGGAACTACTGGACGGATTAGAACTTGAAGGCCGTGAGGAAGACCAACTGTTATTTAGTCTCGAGCTATAAAAAAATATTAGCAGCTGCCAATGGCATCAGAGAGATATTTATTGCAACACTTTTCAATAAAATTCAAGGGAATTAATTGCCTCCCTGTAGAGTTAGCCCATCAACCCACAAATTTGTTCTGTACTTGCTAGGTATGCCCACAAACAGCTGCTTGTAGTCCCCCTGTTACCTGCACTATCACCCATATAGTCTCCAAGATTTTAACTGTTTCATAAGAATACAGTGAAAACTGAAATTAACTTATTTTCATGTACACTTCAACACTAATAAATGTAATCAACATTATTCCACTTACACACAACAGTAAACACACTGTGAGGAAAGCATCTCTTCTGTACTTAAGTACTAACCTGTTCCCTGATGAGCTCTGGTGGTTTTCGTCAGCCCACAAGAAGAATGTACACCCAGTCCCGCTGGGCTTGCTACACTTGTAGAACTGGCGACCTGTGACACACAGATATCGGTTATGAGTCAAAATATGGTGATGAATCCTATTTATTGTTTTTCAGAATGAAACACCCACATTTGTCTTCAGAAATATTTCTTTTGGAACTTCTTGTAAACTAATTCATCAGTTTTACTGTATGAGACTTGCAGTGTTATAGGATAGAAGAACACAATTCTGCCTCCACAGCCAGTCATAAGAGACTGATGTCATCTGACACAGTAGAAACCTAGTTTGAATCATGATATGTCATGATGCTCAGATATGGGGTTTCACATCACATCTCCAACTGTCTGTACAGTTGCACTATGTAGCCCTGCTCTGGAGATGAATTATGTTTCTTGTTACAGTCCATGAAGAGATGATGGGTTTCAATTTTGAATTGATGAAATCACCGACAATGAGCCGAGTAGAGTACTTGTGTTCAGAGCCAACAAGAGTGAATCCAGTGATTACAATGTATGACCTGGTTGACTGGGTGTCATTGTGCCCAGATGTCATTGATTGTTTTGTCCGAGACTCGATTACTTACAGGCTGCCATAAGGCTGGAATATTTGTAAGTGCAGTGGTCAACATGTGGATATTTGTTATAGGGTTCTAGTTTGTTTGTTTGTTTGTTGTCTTATGCTGCACTCAGCAATATTCCAGCTTTTTGACGGCGGCCTGTAAATAATCAAGCCTGGACCAGACAATCCAGTGATTGATACCATGAGCATCAATCTAAGCAATTGGGATACAATGACATGTATCAACCAAGTCAGCAAGCCTGACCACCTGATCCTGTTAGTTGCCTCTTGTGACAAGCATGGGTTGCTGAAGACCTATTCTCTACCCGGATGTTAACAGATCAGTTTGTTTGCTGTTAAACACCTCATGCAGCAACAGTCCAGATATAACTGTGGCCTGTAAATAATCATATCTGGGCCAGATAAACCTGTGAATAATGTTCCATGCCGTCGAAGTACAATGACTCGCAGTTGACCAAGTAACAGAGTCTGACCACCTGATCCACTTAGCATACAGCTCGTACAACAAGCATAGGTTGTTAGGGCCAAATCTAACCCAGATTCCCCATTGGGTTTATAGTAGTCTAACCTGTGTTAGGTCCCTCTTTCCTGACAGTCAGCTGCATGGCATCACTGCCACAGTTACACACAATGGCAGACCCAGAATCTCCTGGTCCTCCACCAGGTGCCATTGGATTAGGCTGAGGCACGGTTGTCAGAGGTGGCCGAGAGTTACCTCCCCTGTGGTTACCAGTGAAAGATGTATTGTTTCTTGAACTATTGTTATAGGAAGAGTTTGTGTTTGTGGAGAAGCCTCTATTAGTAGAGTTATTTCCGCTTGAGTTGCTGTTCTGTGGTCTGCGTTGTGTGTTGTTGCTGTTCTGTGGTCTGCGTTGTTGTGTGTTGTTGCTGGTGATGCTTGTGTTACTGCTGCTGCTGTAGCCACTGTCGGACATGTTCATGTTTCTCCTGGGCAATGATGTGTTGGCTTGAGAGCTGGTGTCTAAAACAAAATACACATAAGATCAAAACTAAAATATCAGTTAAATGTGAGTTTCGATGGTAGTAACAAGTGCTGGATTTAAGATATTTGCAAGAACACTGACACTCCAAAAGATCATAAACGAAACATTGCTCTACTTCATTTTCTCTGTTCCTGGTTTATAGTTTTAAATATTGGACTACATCATTTCAATATATAGTGACAATATATAGTAACTGAGCCTAATAATTTCCTTTATCAATGCTACGATTATTTCATCTCACAACATATAATTTCCCAACAAGGTCCGAAATATCATTCACAGAGCAGGAGTGGTGGCACATGTCCTGTGTACAGCACACAGGTCACAAATCATGGAGACTAGTTGGATGGGTGACTGCTGAGAGTTTCTAGGGCTTTGGTCCTGCCCCACATTGATGTACAAGTGGTGTCTGTAGGGGCAAGTGACTTTGTTCAAAATATGCCTCTGTTCATCCACTGATGAATGAATACCCGGCACAATGAAACGGTAACGTGAACGTAAACATCCTTGCGTCTTACTGGTAGCTTGGATTGTATACTCCACAGGGAGCTGATAATGAAAGTAAAGTGCACACTGATCATTGACCATGGTAGTGCTTTGAGCATGCTTTCGAGTTTGGAATTAGTTTATTATATAAATCTGTGCATTATTATGAGGAACACTTACTGTTGTTTCTGGCAGTGAGAGGCTGAATATTGAGGACTTCTGTCAGCATGTGATCACAACCACCGATACAGCCAGTGTGTCTATTAGCAGAAACCCAAATATGCTTTTACATAGAAAGAGTTAATGTTGCTTTACAGTAGAGGTTGTTCTGTAACATCGTTGTCAGCATCATTCCAGAAATAAACAGGATTGTTTACTGCTTAAATGTCAAAATTAAACGGACATGAAAGAAGTTTCAGTTCTCCAAGTTAGATCTGAATATTCTGGAAACTTGTTTCATATTGTAAAGATTTACATGTGCTGTTCTTGACATCACGATCAAACAATCTTACTCAGAGGGTATCATGGGTGGTGTTGATCCTCGTCTGAACCTGAACTTGATCAGATGAACCGGTCCTGGACCACACTGAAGGTGGAGGAAGACAGGTAATCATCACTTGTGATGCAAGAAGCATGAAAAGTACAAACAGTAATTAAAACATCATGTGTCTGCCTAAGCAAGATATACTGAGTGAGTGAGTATGGTTTTACGCCCCTTTAGGCAATATTCCAGCAATATCACGGCGGAAGACACCAGAAATGGCCTTCACACATTGTGCCCAGGTGGGGAATCGAACCCGGGTCTTCAGCGTGTCGAGCGAACGCTTGAACCACTAGGCTACCCCACCGCCCCTCCAGATATACTGTCATGCTTCTGTTGATGATATCGAGGTCGTAGCAAGGCCTGCTAGTAGTTGACTCAAGGTCCTAGTGGTAGACTACAGGGGATTATATAACTAAACTAAAAAGCTTTTCAAGGCCAGGGGAAAAAATAAATGCCTTTGTAATGTAAAATCAATGGGAAATTTGTACTCGCGGGCTCCTGTTAAGTTGTAACCCTGCGCCAGTTGACTGGAGGTTAATATATAGCATCCAACCTGTATCTCATCATTAATCAGGTGTGAGAAAGGTATCCTACCTGAGGACAGGTCTCCTCTGCTAAGTCCGCCTGGAGGACGAACTCTGGCAGCCAGATGGCAGCACGGCACTGAGGGTACCCCATACAGCCAATGTAAAAGCTGTAAAAAATTAAATAAATAAAAGTGACTTAACGGATTTACAGCATGCCATCGTACCCCAATGTCGGTACATAACTACACGATCACATTTTAGAGGATTCAATCTTGTTCCATAATTTCAGGAAACGAGCATATCAGAGTTCCATTGAACAAGAGAGATGGAATTGTTACCAGTCTTAATTGGTTTTGGAACAGCCTGGGTTTCAACCTGGTTCCTGCACCTGTCCCAGAAGGATGGCCATACAAAGCTTACAGTATCTATGATTTAAGTTTTGATTTCATGCTAGTAGCACAAATATGACATGAAAAATATTTTGCAGTTAAATTGTATGGCACTAGATAACTGGGCTCCTAGTCAGGAAAGTTGACAGAAGCCCACTTGTACAAAGCTATCTGAGCTACAATTATTGTAACTCCACCTGTTTAACACAGATGTACAATAATTGTGGCACAACAAGGCAAGTGGGCCCAGGTGTAGACCTTGTAATCAGTGTCCTGTGTCACACACAATACTGAATCTGTGTAGATCGGGTGACCCTTTAACTTTTAGCCTGTTGGATTGTTTTCAAGCTTCTTAACTCTGCCTGCTGGATTAATTTTAGCATAAGGCACTGTAAAGAGGGTGGGGGATTTCAAACGATTGGTGCTTCATAAAACAAGGGACGTTTGAACAAATTGTTTGCACATTAATATCTGATAGAAAAATACACAGTCATATAAAAACATCCTGACATTTTCAAACATACAGATAAATGATACGTAAAGCCTACATGGAAAGATTGCAAGTGTTATTTTGGGGCGTCGCCATTTGAAAGGGTTTGACAGTAGCAACACAGCGAGGAACACACTCTGTTTAACAGTAGAATTGAGAGCTTCAAGTGCTAGGATTGATCAGCAGCTGGAAATTTGAGTTGGAAGACAAAAGAATTACTTAAATGAAGACTTGCTAGGACTGCCAATTGTCCCTTGTCTCTAAAGAGCTGACACTGACCCTTAAAACATCCAAATTAATATCCCAAACCCCTGAATTACCATAGGAAAGGTGATGGAGGCAGAATTGCATGGCCACTCACCCTTTTCCATCTTTCTTGGCCTTCAGAGCCATGTCCTGACCACACAGTGGACATCTGCGGACAACAGCTGGACCAGCAATGTCTGTCACTGGAAACAGTAACAATTCCAATACATACTGTCAACATATAACACGCTAAATACAAAACTTGACCCACCAAATCTCATTTGAAAAAAATAAATATGGCCTGCATATCCTCGATGTAAAATTAACGGAAAAAAACCCATAACCTCATGCTTGTCCCTCAGCCAGCTTAATGGATCAGGTGACCAGTGGATCATTGCTCATGCTTGTCACTCAGCCAGCTTAATGGATCCAGTGACCAGTGGATCATTGCTCATGCTTGTCCCTCAGCCAGCTTAATGGATCCGGTGACCAGTGGATCATTGCTCATGCTTGTCCCTCAGCCAGCTTAATGGATCCGGTGACCAGTGGATCATTGCTCATGCTTGTCGCTCAGCCAGCTTAATGGATCCAGTGACCAGTGGATCATTGCTCATGCTTGTCACTCAGCCAGCTTAATGGATCCGGTGACCAGTGGATCATTGCTCATGCTTGTCACTCAGCCAGCTTAATGGATCCGGTGACCAGTGGATCATTGCTCATGCTTGTCCCTCAGCCAGCTTAATGGATCCGGTGACCAGTGGATCATTGCTCATGCTTGTCCCTCAGCCAGCTTAATGGATCCGGTGACCAGTGGATCATTGCTCATGCTTGTCACTCAGCCAGCTTAATGGATCCGGTGACCAGTGGATCATTGCTCATGCTTGTCGCTCAGCCAGCTTAATGGATCAGGTGACCAGTGGATCATTGCTCATGCTTGTCACTCAGCCAGCTTAATGGATCTGGTGACCAGTGGATCATTGCTCATGCTTGTCACTCAGCCAGCTTAATGGATCCGGTGACCAGTGGATCATTGCTCATGCTTGTCACTCAGCCAGCTTAATGGATCCGGTGACCAGTGGATCATTGCTCATGCTTGTCCCTCAGCCAGCTTAATGGATCCGGTGACCAGTGGATCATTGCTCATGCTTGTCACTCAGCCAGCTTAATGGATCCGGTGACCAGTGGATCATTGCTCATGCTTGTCACTCAGCCAGCTTAATGGATCAGGTGACCAGTGGATCATTGCTCATGCTTGTCGCTCAGCCAGCTTAATGGATCCGGTGACCAGTGGATCATTGCTCATGCTTGTCACTCAGCCAGCTTAATGGATCCGGTGACCAGTGGATCATTGCTCATGCTTGTCACTCAGCCAGCTTAATGGATCCGGTGACCAGTGGATCATTGCTCATGCTTGTCCCTCAGCCAGCTTAATGGATCCGGTGACCAGTGGATCATTGCTCATGCTGTCATCAGTCCAAACCTGATGATTTGCACATACAGGTGGATCATTGCTGACTGTGATATAAAACAACATTCATGTCCCTTGATCTCAACTACCCTCTAAAAGAGATTTGAATACTTAAACAATGTAGTTTAAGGGCCTATTAAATTAAGTGCGGCCTAAACAACACAGCATCTAAGAAGGTCCTTCCACCTACCTTCAGCTCCTGTGAGAGCATGAGCTTGTCCGAAGTACTGCGACAGAGCCTCGTCCAGCTTCAAGGCCTGATTATAACATCATTATACATGAATGCTAGAAGGTGAACATGGATTGTTTGTTGTTTAACACCACACTCAGCAATATTCCAGCTCTATGATGGCTGTCTGTACATAATTGAGTCTGGACCAGACAATCCAGTGATTGACATCATGAGCATCAATCTAGGCAATTGGGATAAAATGTCATGCATCAACCAAGTCAGCGAGCCTGACCACCCGATCCCACTCGTCGCCTCTTACGGCAAGCATGGGTTGCTGAAAACCTATTCTCTTCCCAGATATTCACAGGTCAGTTAATAAGGAAATTATCATACAAGATAATCTGTCATTCCTAAATTACCCAAGATGTAACTTAAGCTAGTCAGTAAATGAAACAAGAAGCAGACATTTAGCTCATTATGACAGCATAAAATGACATCACAAACGCAGAACAACAGAACCCAGGCTAGGTGGTAAATTGTTGGCCTTAAACAAAGTCGTACATAAGACATAATTTCTTAACCAGCTGAGCATTTACATTTCAGGTAATACTCTCCATCTTTGTTTCCACTTCAACAGATTTGATTCCATCCTCAATTATTCTGGTACAATATCTCACATTTACCACAACTGCTTTGGCCTGGCCTGGCCTGGATCAAGATCCAGGTTAAAATTGGCCTTCAGCAACCAATGTTTGTCATAAGGGATGACTAACAGGATCGGGTGGTCAGGCTCGCTGAATTGGCTGATGTAGGTCATCATATCACAATTGCCAAGATCAATGCTCATGATGTCACTGGATTGTCTGGTCCAGACTATTATTTACAAACCACCATTATGTACCTGGAATATTGCTGTGTGTAGTGTTAAACAAACAAACAAACAAAATCAACAGAATCCCTCTTGCACATAAGCAGAACATAAATGGACATCAATAGTGACAAGCCATTTGCATCAGTCTCAAAACAAATCTATGGTGGCCCATGGGTTATAATATATTGAATTATAATATCTATTGTCATGGAATGGAAACATAATACACTGGATAATTGAGTGTTTCCACTTAGGTAAACTAGTATGTCAGGATTGTTCCCACAACAAGCAGTGGACAAGGGAGATAACACTGTTACATCACCTGCTGGCTCGCCTCTATAAACACAGCCTTGTACTTCTCAATCTGCTCCCGCAGTACAACTAGAAAGTAAAGGAGTACTTTTATGTACTGTTTATACACAAACTTTACTTTATCATGGATGTGGACCATATAAAACAGAAATAATGGGAATTTGTATATATAGAATCTGTCCTTTGATATTACCAGTCAATGTAATAAGCACCCAAAATTAGAAATAGTGGGCTCTTATTAATATAATTTTGGGGAGAGAAAAAAACAGTTGAAAGATTGGAAATTTCGTAGTTTATGCTGACAGCCTGAAATGATACAAAGAAAAGTATGTGCGTATCATACTCAACAGATACTTTATCCAGAATTTAATTGCCCATAATTAAGGGTGCATATAACACACGAGTGTGTAATACTGTGTATTATACACGGATAAATAAGTCTTGTGTACATATATCAATCGGAAGGGGTGCTAATTGGGATTGTTCACTAGCCAATATATTAGCAAATATTGCTGTGGGTGCTAATTAGAGCAGGGTGCTTATTACGTCGAACACGGTAAAGATAACATGCTGAGAACTGAAGAGAATAAAACCAACTTACTATTCTTATCTTTTCGCCCTTCACAAATCCTAAGAAAAGAAATATCAATCACAATGTGGTATTTCATGTATTGCAAAAAGCAACTAATAACACAGAAAGCAACTATTAATGGGAATGAAACTGGCATTAGCCAAAAACACATCTTTGATTTCAATATCTTTGAGAGGTCTTCACAGCATACAGGGGCAGTAGGGAGGCCTATTGGTTAAAGCATTCACTCGTCAGGCTGAAGACCCAGGTTTGATACCCCACAAGGGTACAGTGTATGAAGGCCATTGCTGGTGTCCCATGCCTTGATACTGCTGGAATAGCTTCACAGCAAACTTGAAGGTTTCACTCGTGTTACTGATACAAGCAACACTTCCTCATACATCAGTACCTGTGCCTCAGGTACATATCACTCAGGCAACTGGTTGAACAACAAAATCAACTTGTCTTACACTGCTCACTGGCAACAAACTCATAACATACACTGACCTTTTTGAAGAACAAAACAAAATAAATCTTAATTATCTTTTGTTTCTATTTCTTCACCACCTCCCAACTAGGATTCTTTACACAAAAAATCTGTAAACCAAGAAATGCAAACCTGGTCCAAAAGCACATCTTTACCTTTCACCTGATGAAGTAGCCCTGAAATATTGTGTATGTATAATAAAGAAGTTGTCACCTAGAATAATAATATTTGTTTATACTTGTCATGTTTATATCCAACTGAAAGGCCTATAAAGCCTCTCCTCTTTACCTTTGTAGGTCGGCTTCCAATTCAGATCTGAGGTGGGGCTTGGACATTTGGTATCCCATCTCATCATAACCTGCAACAAACAGTCAATGCCTTAGTTGTGGTGTAAGGTTCATACAGATATGGAACATTAAAATTCAAGGCCTTTTCAAGGCTTTCAACTCAGATCATTTTCAAGGCTAATTTAGTTCGGTTATAAGCCTTGGTACATGTATATCAATATGTTTCTAAAACTCACCATACTACATATTAGTCCTGAGACCAAAAAAGCAGTATAAACATCGCAAATTTTTCAACAAGATTTATTTTCACAACCAATCAATAAAAGCATTACGGTAAGTAAGAATGTTCTTACACAATGCCAAAAAAGTAGGGGTCAGTGGGAATCATCAAGGCATATCTTCTGATCTATAGAGTATTTATATGGTATCAGCCCATGGAAATAAGATCATACATGCTGGGGAGTAGGCGATCAGATCAAATGGGTTCTAATGGTTGGTGTGATGAGCTGGTGGCCCACTAGCATGTAAAGAGGTCAGTGGTCAAATTCGAATTTGCATTTTGTAGCCAACTTCACTGCAATGAATGCAGAGGTAGCTTACACAACTTTAAAAAGAACAAAATGTATTCTCTACAACTCAATACGTCTCCACAGGGTGGTGATGAAAAAGAGAATGATGTGGCAGGGGTAGTCAGGTGATCATGTTGTGTAAGGTCACAACACACAGGATTACAGCGCATGACCCATTTGTTTGGGTAGTGACCATGGTGATACAGGGATATGTTTGGACGAAATGTTTTTAGAAGCTGGAGACTTTGTTCAACCACGTTTCCAAATAAGGATCGAAAGAAGATGGAAGAAATGCATAGGATAAATTTTTAAATTTCCCTTTTTCAAATTTAAGTTTGGTCAACAATTTGTGATTAGGTGTCCCTAACAAAACTTACAAAAGTCATAGTGGTGAGTGTACTAACCAACCGTCTGTTTCACCAGGACATACACCTACTAACCTTCCACTAACCCCATCCCGAGCTGCCCAGGCACAAAACGTCCATCAGGCCGGAGACCGACATAACTTCGGACTTTGATGGTTTCAATGTGATCTGCATGGGTGGCATCAGTACCTGGAATATCAACACACAATGGTAATTGTTCATTCTGTACACTTGAAAGTTCAGGCAAGCTAAATTTCATCTCAATATCTGAAGCGTCTTTGATTATATCACAATTTTATGTCGATAAAAACCTTGGACACAATCACTATTGTATGAGCCTTCAAATGGCACAATGCTGAAAAACAGACGTACAATCAAATACAAAAATTCATCAGGAAGAGAAATTATGTGCTAAGAGAAAGATAGGACAGATGGTGACGTCATTCCGAAATGAAGCTGTGGTGACAACTGGGTCCATGGTATTTATCCTATTGGAATGGAGACATAAAACTCACCTACTGGAGAATAGAGGGTGTATCAGAGGTTTTTTTTGATTTTCAACAAAACTAAAATGTGGACTGACAAACTGTGCACCCACCAATTCCGTGTTTCTCCATGAGAGCTATCAGGTCTGCTTCAGCTAACAAAGGAGGGGGCACTGTCTCGCTACACGCCATCTGGGAAAGGGGAAACTCATCACAAAACAATAAAATCAACAAGATTTTAACCATGTTACAGCGGGAGAAACTAACATTTTTAGTCCACTAGTCCTTATAATGATAACAAATAGCAAAACACTTAAAAATGTCACATTTCTACAAGTCCTTATGATACCTTCACTATTAAGCAGTTTGGCAAGGACTACAGGACTAGTGCCAATTTCTAACCCTGTGTTAACAGAGTTTCTTGGAGACTTCGCACTATCACATTCATTTATTGGAGCTTTTCTTTTTTCCTGCTTACCTCAATCGAGCTTGGTTCAAACTGATCTCCCTGCTTGTAGATAGGAATTTCCTGCAAAGAAGTCATTAAATATAAATACCTGTGGTCACCGTATGAATTGGACGAGTGTGTGAACTCCAGGTATTCCAGAAATACCCTAATATTTCACAAAGTAGGAAACCCATTGTTGGTGGTACTCTTATGTAAGTGTTAATGCCGCACTCAGCAATATTCCAGCCACGGTATATGTAAAAATTGAGTCTGGACCAGACAATCCAGTGATTCGATATCATGAGCATTGATTCACACAGTTGGGATACAATGACATGCATTAACCAACTCAGCAACCATGACCATCCAATCTTGTTAGTTGCCTCTTATGACAAGCATAGTCGCTTCTTATGTCAAGCATGGGTTGCTGAAGATCAATTCTAACCCAGATCTCCATGGGTCTTATGTAAGCGGTAATGGGTCACCTCTGTATAAGTATGTTGGGAAACAAGCCAAGATCTTCAATAGCATAAGCAACAACCTTATGTTATCATTTCACCGTAAACCTATAACACATTACAGCAAAAACATTTTGAATTCACAGTTAATTGTGTTTAATATAGGCCTCATATCTTAAGTCAAGAATGGGTCAGATAAAACCATTTTTGAATGAAAACAAATTGACCCAGGTATTTGAAAACACACTCCTCCGGTGGCATTCCACAACACTGGCACAAAGGCCAACATTTCAAAAGGACACTCTAAATTCTTGATATTCCTCTCCCTAAGAAATTATAACAAGGTCAAGGGCGAGAGGTCCAGGGTTAAGAAAGTTGGTGGGAATAGATATTAAATCTTTAATTTTCAGTCGCTAATCTTACCTTTGCATTCCATTTCTCATATGGGTAGACCTCAAGGTAGTTCCTGGCAATGATCATCAGACCACTGGCTGTGAACTGACATTAGGGAACATTAACACATTCACTTAAGTGAGAAAGAGGGCACAATAAGCTAGCAAGCACATGTACGTTAGTGTTGTACAACACTGTAGTCAGCAGTATTCCAGTTATCTTAATCTGGTTCAAACAAACTAGTGGTTGACAGCATGAGCAACAAATGAACACCATTAATGCAAGATGACACACAATCAGCAAAATCCCAGGCCAGGCTAACCAAAACATTTTAGTCAACTCTTAAGACAAGCACTGGTTAATGGGAACCAATTCTAGCACATGATCCCAAGGGGATGCTTGATTACAAATTTGATCAATTGAGAATATTTACCTTATAAGATTCTCATTACATAGCAATTGTAATTTTCCCTACCCTCTCCTCTGCTATGTTGATATCAACTGTCGTCTCCATGCCCTGGGCATCCTGGGAGCAGCACGCCAGAAAGTGACGGACCACGAACTCGTACACACGCTGATCGTTTCCCTTAAACACACATCAAAGATTCTATGATATCTACTAAATGTACCAATAAATCAAAGGTGAGTTCAATTTTATATGACATTTGAGCAACTTAACAATACTTTCGTAATGTTTTACAGTTGAAACTAAAAATTGCAAAAGATTATTTCCTGAACTACCTCATTAAAGACAGATCTTAGTGCTCAATACCGCTGGGACATCCCATTACATGTCACGTCGGACTGACCTTTCCAAATTTTGATTGACCAATGAAATGACTTATAAGAAGGCAACATTAGTCAATCAGAAAACAGCTTTCACAAGCTTTACAGCACTAGTTTCAAACTGGCAACTTCCATTCCAGAATATGCTTAGAAACATATTTAACATATTTTTCAAAATTTGAAATGTGAACAAAAGAAAATTCTGAAATGTCTATAAGATGGCGGAGATTGTTGTTGGATATGGAAAGTCTCTTCAATATTTATCCCATTGAAGCAAGAGATAGACAATGGTTTTGACAGAATCAGCCACAAAGGTCCATAATTGTCGTTGGGAATACCATGTTAACCTTTTCAAAGTTGCATGATTAGAAACACCTTCACTCTCCTGATCTGGTAAGCGACACTCTGACTGGTCATATGGAAGGTTGTTCCCATGACCTGTAAGGGATATCTTCAGATCTGTGTTTAGTTGTACCAAGCACTCAGATCTGATTTTAATAGACTTAATAAAAAGGAAATTTTGTAAGGGTTGACCTTGGCATGTGTTCATCAGGCAATCTTTGCTTCTCGTTCCAACTACCTGCTACAAGATTATTTTTTGTAAATATTACCAGTTTTCATCAGATTTCTGTATTTCATAATATGTATGTATTACAGGCAAATAAAGTGTAAATGGTCATTGACTTCATCTTGATCTGAATTGCAATCGGACAGCAAAAGCAGTAAGTAAGGATTTAGCATTTATTTTCACCTACAAACAATATATCAGTTTAGGGTAACTTATTCAGATGGACTTAGTGCAGTTGTTACCTGCAGAGTGGCCGTGTACTTGATGGGGTGTATTGGGGGATGGGCATTGTCAGTCTTGTTGCCATTTCGTGGATGAAGGCCTTGATCCAAGATTCTTTGTGCAAAACCTGACAATAATGTAAGCAATGTAGGCCATCAATGCTAACTAAAGCAAACTAACAAAAGGAGGTCTCATAATCTTGCATTGATCCTTATTCTTATGGATGTGCTATGTGTCCAGTGTTAAGATGGGCATTATGTTCTCTACAAAAGTGGTTAATCGGTTTTTGACCAATTAAAGATCATAAACAAATGGCAAAGATGTTTGGATTACATGCAATACATGCTAACATAGAAACAGCCCCCCTACAGTGTTCCCGCTAGCTTTTGAAACTGCCAGTACCATTGGACTGGCAACTCTAAAAATTACCAATCCCCTCCAATATTTGTCAGTCCCAACCTCGAAATACAAGAGTGCTCTGAGAGCACAACATCCCCCGCATGAATTTTTTTAACGAGTTTATATTTTCTTTGTATTTCATGAAATAACAACAGTAGATGGCACTGCATTTGAAACAAATTGTGCAGAACATTTTGTTGGGAGTAATCCAGTCTGAATGCTAATGCCATAAGGATGTAGCTCACCCACAAAAGCCTTATACAAGGAAACTAACTATAGTTATAGTTATAGTTAGATATTGTGATATTCTCTGGAAACTGGAGGAGTTGATTTCATGAAGCTCCGTAAAACAGGGGCAGTAACTCTGTCAAAATTTCTCGGAATGAAACGGGACTGCGATATGCATATCATCAACATGTCGACATCTTGTGTGTAGAGTGTCAGGGATATTCTCTAAAAGCTGGAGGAGGAGTTGATTTCACAAGCTTAGTACCCTCTCTCACAATTAGGCAAATGAAGCCCCGTAAAACAGGGGCAGTTTCTCTGTCAAAATTAGTCGAAATGAAACGGGACTGCGATATGCGTATCATCAACATGTTGACATCTTGTGTGTAGAGTTTCAGGGAAATTCTCTGGAAACTGTAGGAGGAGGATTTCACAAGCTTAGTACCCTCTATGGGACGGACGGACAGACGGACGGCACCACAACATAATCCCCCTTCGGCCATTCTGGCCCGGCAGGGGATAAAAATATATGAAAATTAACTGCTTTTAATTATTTCACATTTTAACATTTAACATTTCACTTTTATTCAAGACGAAGACTCTAAATAAATTTCCTTGCCCTAAAAATAGACAGCGTGAAACCCAGATGATAAAAGACAAGCTGAAATCTAGTACATCTGGATATTTTTTTTATTTGTATACTTATCCTGCATTACTCCTTAATGCACTTACTGCTTGTTCTTGACAGAGAAAGAGCTGTGTGAGGTCTTGCTGAAGAAGAAGTTGTTGCAACTGGTTGAGTGGCTAACCCTATTACACAGTTCCCATGTTACCACGGAAGTGCTGGTGTCACTGATCAGCACATTACTGCTAAAAACAGAGCATCTGAAGACATCGTATTGGCAGCTCTGGGACAGGTGGGCAACTAAAGACGAAGTAATGCAGGATAAGTATACAAATATAAAAATATCTAGATTTTACTTGACTTGTCCTGCATTACTCCTTAATGCATCTGCATCAGATGGCACGGAGGAGTGCATACCTTCAGATGTGATCTTCCCAAACTCTCCATAGACTCCACTAATCAGCAACAGCAATGTCCGCATTGAGTGACCATTCCTTTTAGCAGGGAAGGAGAAAGTCAGGTATGCGTGATGTCCAGGTATCATTGCAGTTATAGAAATTAAACAGTTAAAGTTAAAGTCTAGAACTGCCATCCCGAGCCAATGCGTGCAGCATGTAACCTAGTCTGGGATGACATGCACCGGACAGGTCAAAATGCTGGCCGAAGATAGGTGGACCAACTGGGCAATCACCAAAAGGCCAACACTGTGGATGCCTTCCAAGTCTTCAAGGGCAACATCTCTCAGGTAGGGCCTGGCGAAGACATTGTCTAAGCGCCAGAAGCAGCCTTCCATAATGGTTAGGCTGGAGCAGTTGCTGTGAAGTGCCATGGTAGAGGCGACCGCCCGGATCTCATGTCATAGGACTGAAGAATGATGGCGCTAAGCCACAGGGCGAGTGGATGACCTTTTCCTGCAAAATCGGAGGCCTCTAGTGGAAGGTTCTCTTTGTAGATGGAGCAGGCATGAAGATGGACTGGGTGGGGACATCTGCTGTGAGGGTGGATCAGCAGGTCTGGTAGTTCGAGGGGGTTGGTGGAGGACATTTCTCTCAGGTCCACAAACCAGCCTCTCGTTGGCCACCAAGGTGCTATAAAAGTCAGAGTGAGGACAATGGGACGATTTGATCTTCTGAAGAACCCTGGGAAGGAGCACTGGTGGTGGAAAATCGTATGCTTTTAGTCCTTTCGTTGACCGCCAAGGCTTGTGGATTCAGCACTGATGTTGCGACAAGCTGGGATGTGTTGGAACTGAAATGCGAGGTCAAGTTGATCGATCAGATGGAATAACCTGAATGTCTGCCATAACAGGGAGGAGGAGTGGGTCGTCTCGTGGTTGCGGAGACTCCATACAACTGTGATTTTGTCTATGGATAAGGTGATCCTAACCAGGATAAGCGCCTCCTGTTCCAGGTTGTTGATATGTTGTTAAGCGGTGGACCATACCCCCAAGGGGACTTTACCCTCCAGATGTACTCCAAGCCTTGGAGTGAGGCATTGACGAACAGGTGTAATGAGATCGTGAGTTCTGTCAAGGAGACGTTCGAATCCATCCCCCACCATTGGAGATGTGGTTTAGGGTGGACCAGGAGGACGAGGCAGACGGACTGATCCTGGCGCCTGATGTTTGGAACAGTTGGAAGCCTTCCTTTGGATGTCAGGTCCTGCGCTGACTGGCGGAGAATGCGGGGTTGATGAAGAGCAGGGAGGAGGTGGTATGGGTTTTAACACCTGTCCCTGGGTACTGTTTGAAAACAGCCTCCGATGAATTAGAGATCGAACAAGGGCGTGGGTTGCGACTTCTGGACATTGATGATCCGACCCAACTGATGATGGAGATGCTGTGGCGGATTAGCAGCTGGAGGCGAAGTAAACCTAGGCATAAGATGAAGCCAAGCATGTCCATGTGAGGCGTCAATGCGGCCGAGAAGGCATCAGGAGGAAGGGTGGAGATCCGAATCCCAGAAGTGGCACTGGCCACTGGCACCATGGATAGCTGGTAAAGACGCAGGTAGAGACGAACTCAGGGTCATCAGAACCATGCCGGGCGTAATCAACGATGTGAGCGTGGATGATGGCGCCAGTGTCGTATTAACGAAGATTGGGCGAGACTATTGGTGGAGAGGAGATAGTTTTCATCACCGATGAAGATACAGGTGTGGAGGTAAACGCCGAAGGTGCCCCACCTGAAGAGGAGATAGTTGTGGCTGGTGGGGGTGGTAGGCTCGGCTGAGACGACGTTTCCGTGCCTGCTGTGTCTGCCTTTTGCAAGATACCTGCTGGTGTTGGGCTGTAGGGGAGAGTGGCAGACAATCTTTACACCTGGTAGTATAGGAGCAGATGGTTGTGCAAATCAGATGCAATAGGCGAGGGTCCCACCCCGACTTATTGCAGTGATACTTGCTACAACGTGGCATGTATCTGCAATGATAGCAGAGAGTAATCCAAATGCATTCCCACCCAAATATGTATGTTATAATCATTTATCCCTTTCATGTTTGTAAATAACAAGTTTACGCAAACAACCAGAAAAACCACCAGTTTATTAACGATAATATTGCTAGGGTACGACAATGAATTGAAGTACCAAGCAGTACAGGGAATACAGAACAAAAATATGTGACCACGAGGTGAATTCAAAATGGCTGGTTGGAACAACAGTATGCTGGATACTTACCGTTGTAAACACCACCGCCAGGCATAAATATTAATGCTATGGCATAAATCATATGAAAGATATGAAGTCACAAACTGTAAGCACAAATAACAATCACAAAGAAACAACAGTGTTGAAAACAGTCACAGGATTCTAGCGGATTAGAGCTGAGACTCAAAACAGGTGACTGTTCTCCATGGGTGACAGCAGTAATGTGCTGATCAGTGACATCACCACCTCTGTGGTCACATGGGAGCTGTGTGATAGGGTTAGTCACTCAACCAGTTGGAACAAGGTCTTCTTCAGGAAGACCTTACACGGCTCTTTCTCTGTCAGGAACAAGCAGTAAATGCATTAAGGAGTAATGCAGGAAAACTTAAAAAATATATACCTTATTGATTATTGCCAATCTTTCGTCCAACAACAAAGATTTATAAGGTACTTTATTTGCAGTCAGGGTCTGACAGTCACACGAATTACCAGTCAAAGACTAATTTTAGCGGTAAAATACTCATTACAAGTCAATGGAAACACTGCCCCACCCCACCTGTTCCTGAACATGCTAAATGCCCAGTGTTCAATTCATGACTAAAAGTTTATCCTCAGTGATTAGAAAACGGTTGATGTAATGTCCAGACGCGTCCCTATCATGTATATTATGTTCCGTCAACATTCAAATGTAAGTAATAACGGTTTTGTATCACATGCATGTGATTGAGAAACCAATAGCGACAGCAGCAGTCAATTTTCAGCAAACATTACACTAAGCAGCAGACCTCACAGAACTCTTGCTCCATTATTACCTCATTAACTCAGATGATACTTTGACAGTAAGATATTCTTGAATTAACTGGCAATACTCATCCCAAACCAGACAAGTGTGTAAGTACATGATCTTCTCCCAATTGATGAGTATGGTTACATGATGGCGGTATCAGCTAGTAACATAAAGCTGGATGATGTCGAGATTGTGGGAACAGTGCCCTACCTCCCCAGTTAGGGTCTCGTGTTTGGTCCTGCACCAGGCTCTGAAGATCCATCTCCTTGGGGAAGATGTTGGTCTCTGTACGTGGATAGCTGATGAACCCCTGTGTGTAGAGCTTCTCCGCTATCTTCATGGTTTCCTTGGCATTAATCCTCATCTTTCTGGATGCCAGCTTCTCCATTTCCTGGAAATAATGTACAACTAATCACTGTCCACACGAAAACACACATGGGTACAATGTGTGAAGCCCATTTCTGGTGTCCCCCGCCGTGATATTGCTGGAATATTGCTAAAAGCGGTGCTTGAGACTGTATGCACACATGGGTATTTGGCCCCTGTAAAATATACTTACTCCATTTACAAGCAGCATTACTGTTTCTCATGAAGTATTCTGGGAATTCCGGTGAAAATTCTTAAATGCATTCCTTTATTTCAGCAGAGACATGTGTTCCAGTATACATGGTCTATGCTTAAAAAAATATTCTAAAAGCATGGTAACAACTACCAGTAAGTTGAATAATTCCTGTTCTTCACTAGAAATCGTTGACATCAGGCCCTTTCATCATAAATATAGTAGTATATATTGTCTAATCACATCCCCATAGTCATAACACCTCAGCTACGCACCACTGTGTCCAGAGCCTGGGGTCGCCATTTGCTCTTGTTTTTACTCTTCACTTCCAGCACTGTTGCTATTGGGTTCTGCAAGGCAGAAGGAGAGGTTTGCTAAATGCTTCTTGATAGAAGAACACTTCACATCACAGGATAGTAAACACAAGGCCAGAACTTCACTGTGCAACCACTAAAGAAAAGAAAATATTAAACGCTGTGTTCCACTGATTAAATAATTATTATTTTATTTTTAAGATGTAAAACATGTACCGGTAACTAAATTGGTCAGGCCTGAAAACTTATAAATTGGATTTGTGGTGCTTACAAAGAAGGAATAGCTACAGCTGGAGAGTTGTTTGGACATAAATGTTATATTAAACAAAGACCCCTTAGAAGGTCCCATCAGGTGAATTTTTTAAACAGTCAATAGGGTTCTAAATTATTGGTATGACCGAACAAAGCATTCAGAGCAGGATATTGGGTTTCTGTGTCTTGAAAATGAACATAAAGAGGCAGTTCCGAATTGAATTTAATAAAGGCCATATTATATTGTTGTCGATATTTGAGACATCCTGTCTGAGGACAATGGCATCAAGGGAATATTTTTTTACATCTGATTGGCTCAAGAACCCATGGATCCTTACTGATAATAGACTGGGCGGTCAAGGTTTCCCTGACATGACTTCATTTTTGGAAGCTGACATCTGATTGGCTCAAGAACCCAGGACATGACTTCATTTTTGGAAGCTGACATCTGATTGGCTCAAGAACCCTTATTGAAAAATCCTTATTTGTTAATAGACTGGAAGGTCAGGGTTTACTTGAATTGACCTCCTTTGTCTTCTGTCATATCATCCCACACAGAGAGGTATCATGTATAAGATTCTAATAGGGTTGTATTGAGGAGAAATCATTACAAATATTTGATGTGCATGTTATTTCTTTTGATAAAGACATTAAGGGAAATGATACAAGATGTGAAAAGCATACCTCTATGCACTGTTCAAAGAGAACAAGACATGCAAGATGGTCAAACAGGCGGTTTCTGAAAGAGAGTAGAACACACAATCATTTCTCTAATGATCTTGTATGAAGAAATAATTAAATTAAAAAGTGGATGGATTGAAAAAAATGTGACTTTCCTTCTCTTTTTATCATCATTAAGTTTACATTATCTACAGCACATAAAAAATTATTTATCCATCTCCAAAAGGATGTTCCAAAAATGTTTCTATCATTGTATAAATGTTTTTGTTAGGAAACTATCCAAAGAATAAAAAATGACTCTACTGTCCCTTGTCGCCTGTTATCTCTCACAAATTGATGTAATCCAAAAAATAACTAACATGATGTGACTCAGCAATTAGAAACTGACATGATAAAATCTGTCGACACAAACCTTTTCCATAGGAAGTCTGCCTTGATGTCATCAAGCATATGAGCCACTGTAAGCCAGATATTTACATATGTCATGTATATATTCATATCTAGCGCTCATGGCGCCATGACATATAATGATAGCCAGCTAATCATATCATGATAGTTTTGTTTACATTCTTTGTGATAATTGAAAATTTTACAATAAATTGTATACTTATATATTTATCTTATCTCACACTATGCATTTCTTCATTCTCCTTTCGAACCTGGAGTGGAAACAACCCAAAACAAAGTTTCCAGCTTCATAAAACATTACACCCGAACACATCCCAGCATCACCAAGGTCACCACCTAAACAAAGGGCCATGCACCACTGTAATCATGTGTGACCTGACCCCAAGCGACCTGTTCACCTGACATACCCTGCCACATCAGTAGACAGGCTGGTGTAACCGTGATGCAGGAATGGTTGGGTGGGCATATAGCGTGTGAGGTAGGATAAGTATATATAAATGTACAATATATTGTAAAATTTTAAATTTTCCAAACTTATCCTATCTCACACAATGCATTTATCCCACAGTTGGACGGTGGGCGCATATACCAGGGTCTCTAAAGACTACAACCCTGAGATGTACACAAGGAAGCTGGTGCTAAGCTATACCTCAATCGCAAGAACTTGTGTATGGGTTTGTACTGTCACAAGTGAAAAAAACCGTTTGCATTACTGAGACATAACAGTGGGTAACTCATGTGTTATGTGTCTTCACACAAGACGTCGCCCAATAAAATAGAACAGCATAACTTTGAACTAGGGAAACCTATTCAGCTACAACTTGTAACCAATTCCGAATATTAAAAAAGGTGAAACGTGAATTTGTTCAACAAGACAGGCTTCACATATTATTTCCAACAGACAACAGGGTGAACCAGCTTGGCATCTCTATTTACGCTTCGTTGTCCTGGAAGCTGGTTCTTGGCGATGAAGTCCCAGCGATGGCTGATTCAGACTTTCCCATGACGAGGCCGCTCAAGCTGGACTCTAGCGCCTGAGTGATAGTCCATGCCACCTTCCGAGAATAAGCCTTGGCTATGAAAAACTTCTGGAGATGTGCCAAACGCAAAAATAAAGCGTGTTTGGTGACGGGTTGAATCGGGTTGTGAAGAGGTCATCCAATGTGTAATTGCTAACACCATTGCTTTGAACTTTGAGTTGTCGACGTGGAGATGAGTTCGCCTGCAGACCGACGTCCAGTCACATGTAGATCTAATAAGTGCACTCCCCAACCGATTGTCAGAGAATTGACATAACGATCATGGAAAGTATGATAAAGCTCTATCTTGTAGTTCGAGGCTGAATACATAATTCTATGGTCAAATGAAGCAGGCTGATCGAAGTGGAAGTGCAGCAGTGTTACCAGAAGCTCTGCCTTGAAGGAACATAGGGAATGTATGCCGAACCAAAGAGTGTCCTTATTCACCAACTCCCAATCCTTATTAACTGAGAAATGACTCGTCCTGGGTTGATAGTCGCTATGTTGACGTGTAGTACTAGGTGGGAGTGACTCCCTGTGCAGTCATCAAAGTACTACAGTCTGTACCGGTTCCAGCATAATCAGTCTTGTTTACAAAACAGAGATCTTGACACATGACGTGAAAGTCACCTTTGCACAGGGACAGGAAATACAGCAGTCTTTCCTAACACAAGGTCAATGCTCCAGAGACACAAAAACACATCACATGACAATACAGCGTGAAATGTATGGTAGACAGACAAAGTGGTGTCCTGAGTTCCAAAGAATAATGGTGTACAGGCAGTCAGTTCCCTGAAGAATGTGGGACGAAACCGGTGCAGTAGCAAGTTCAGCTCTGTAAGATATGATGCTTCAAACGTCGAATCTTTGTCGTCCGTACTGATGAAAGGACGAAGGATCCATTTGATCCTCATTCTCTCGATGATGTCTCCTGAAAATGGTAACATTACCTACCATCATCAAACAATAATCTGCTTGGTACAGATACACCGAACACTAATAGAACTGCAATAACATGAGCCAGGGTTAGAATCTGTAGGTGAAAAATAATCATGGTTGCGAATGGTGATCCCATCGACCCTCTATACAAGTGTTGGGGAGATCTTCCCTGTTAAGACAAGGGTATCGACCATTCTCCTCCTGGATACGGGGAATGACAATCTCCTTTCAGTTGAGGGTCTGGGCACACTGAGTGGCTCGTTTGTCCTCGGCCAAGCTTGCTTTAGGAGGTGAATATGCTTGCGTCAAAGGGGACCAACGGGACCAGGAGGTCAGGCTCACCGACTTGGTTGATGCATGTCACCTTATCCCAAAGCGTAGATCAATGCTCATGGTGTCAATCACTGGATTGTCTGGTCCAGAGAAAACTAACCATATAGGAGACGTATCAGAAAAAACAAGTATTTGTCACAAAGTGACGAAATGTCCCCCGCCTGTATATACACCATAGTACCAAATATGAAGACAATCCAGAGATTAGTTCTTGAGATATCACGGCAACACCGTTTTCCAACTCCAAAAGCAGATTTGCCTGCTGTGACCTTGAAAATGGGGTCAAGGTCACCAAAACCGACTGGTGTCTGCGGTGTCTCTATATACACCATAGTTCCAAATATGAAGACAATCCAGTGATTAGTTCTTGAGATATCGCGGCAACACCGTTTTCCAACTCCAAAAGCAGATTTGCCTGCTGTGACCTTGAAAATGGGGTCAAGGTCACCAAAACCGACTGGTGTCTGCGGAGTCTGTATATACACCATAGTTCCAAATATGAAGACAATCCAGAGATTAGTTCTTGAGATATCGCGGCAACACCGTTTTCCAACTCCAAAAGCAGATTTGCCTGCTGTGACCTTGAAAATGGGGTCAAGGTCACCAAAACCGACTGGTGTCTGCGGAGTCTGTATATACACCATAGTTCCAAATATGAAGACAATCCAGTGTTTAGTTCTTGAGATATCGCGGCAACAAACAGGTGGGAAGTACGGACGGACGCGGACAAAAAAAACCTGTTAGAAACTATATCATCTCCACACATAACGATGTGATGGTAGATGGCTTGGTCTGATTGACCGCTGAAATAGTCAATCGTACTGCCATTTAAATAACTCATTAGGTTTCTTAGTAGCTGATGGTCCAAGGCCTGTAGCTTTAAATAATTACTTTGATCGCCGGTCTGTGTTCTGCTTCTGACATATGCGAATATAGATGTGAAATTATTCCTTATAGAGATGCGTACACTGGGAGCATTTGGCAGACAACTAGCACTGGTCACGACAGTCACAGTAAAGGGAGTGAGGATCTCTTTCTGCTGTCGAAAAAAGTATGATTATACTTCTGGCAAAACAGGTGTTTCTCCCTAGTGAACTGTCCCATTAAGTTGCAGTCGTCAAAGGAAGATATGATATCGATCCCAATCACAATTAGGTTCTACAGTTTGATGTCAATCTGAAAGCTGATCCCACCATTGATTAGGTTCGACTGACTGATACCCGAAGGTTGATCCGAATGTTGAGTTGGTGCTTTTGGTTGAGATCGAGACAAAAGTCGATCCGAATGTCGAGTTGGTTCAACAACTGGGGCAGATTGCAACGAATGTCGATACAAATGTCGAGTAGGTTCTACTAGCAGATGATTAAAAAATATGATTGCATTTTTGCAGAACAGGATCAAAAGAAGAAGGAAGGAATGCATAGTGTGAGATAGGAAAAGCTTAAAATTGTCTTTTAATATCTACTTTAATATTTATATTAATACCAGGGTCTTCAAAAAAATGTCTACAAGTTGTTTCTCCTGTGGACTGGTTGAATTGACTCAACATGCAGTGTCTGTTTTTCTCTTATGTCCTCAAATAAACATGCTGTGGTCCTGTCATGTTTGAGACAATGAAAGTTGACATTCACAAAACTGGTACTTAAAAACACACAGGAAGAAGAATTGCATTCCAAGTGTAATTTACATGTTTGGCCAAATAAAGTGTAGGTTTACCTTCTAATTTGAAAAACATATTTTCAAACTTATGTACTGTGCCATCAAACTCATCAGATTCAACAGATTTTACTCCTTTCAATGTCCTGCATTTCAAATTATTGTATTCTTTAATATCTCTTTTACCTTTTAGTTTCCAGAAGGGTTCTGGCACAAAGGCTTGGACCTGTTTGTATCTCTCCACCACAAAGCCAAGTGTAGGAAATTGGCAACTGCCATAGCTTACAAGCTGTTGGCTTAAATGCTCAGGAAACACTTTCTGCAAACGTAGGGTTTGAAACCTTGTGAATGCTGCACCTGAAGGAATATGAAGGAATGATATTGGAGGAGTTACCTCAAGACATTGTTCAAGTAGCTGACAAACCGGAGTACCACAGGTACAGAAGCTCCTAACTAGATGACATGCAACATTTATCACCACGGAAAGGGCCCTCACCGCCTAATCTGATCTGATCTGATCTGATCTGAGTCCTACAAGTGTTTTTTCATGCGTCAAGTAATTACAATGTGGTTAATGTAAGGGTTCTAAATTCTTTTAAACTATTTCGCTGTGTCATCTGGTCTGCTTGTTAACAGTGTACTCAATGAACCCAAGTCCTCTAGTCTGGGACCTGTAAAATTCAGGAAGGACTCATGACCAATTCCTTGTGGACTACCACTTTTTACGATTTGGCAGATCTCCAACTCTGCAACAGAAAGTTTGTGCTGACCAGTGAAAACAAAACATAACTTCTAACCCTGTGTTTGAAAGGACAGACAGCTGGCAACACAAAATACTTGATTGATTTGTGAAAGTGAAGCATAAAAGTATTTTGTACAGTTAAAAGAATATTGAGAGTGCATTTAATAACACCTTATCAGATGATCACTAAAAACTGTTTTGTTAACATTTTCCCATCTATTCAAAGGGCCATTTCCATTTTATGAAAGTCAAGATGAAGGTGTGTTATTTTATAAGGTTGGAGATAATGAGAGTCACTTATTATTTCAAAATCCAACAAGACAGGCATTGATACATAATGTATATTGAAAAATCGCGACAAAAAGGGACAAATCGCTTCTTGATTCAAATTGATTGAAATAATGCAAACAATAACTTGAGAATCTAAGGAGGTATGATATAACTGAACATGTAAGTAGTCTTAAAATTATTTGCCTGACAGCAGGTGGAGCAAAATTTCATGAAGCCCAACAGAAAAGTTACCAGTCATGGGTAGACAGGCAGGCAGTTATTTCAGACATTGTGCCCTTGCAAGCTCATTGTGATGACATCATGCTTTGCATACGCTACGTTCATCCACCACCTGTGAATCTGTAATGACATGCCTGCTGTACTGTGTACGGCCTGGGTACGGTGAGAGGGAAACCAGTCAGGTCTTTCACCAGTAAGTGCTCATATTACCTCAATTTGATTTCAATAACTTATACACAGCCTCATTTCATTACCTGACTCAAATTGATGACAAGCATCACACCACAAAGTGAACGTATATGTTCATGGGTGATGGAGGAAACCTGTGAAGTATTGATGATGTTGCCACCTGTGTGTTATCAGTTCTAATAACTAGATACATCCTCTATATCGCCAAGGCTCACATTTAGGTAAACCTACACTAACCCCTGCATCCATTCACGTTCTCGCAAACTCAAATTACTCATCCGTGATTTTCATTTGTCATTTTGATTTGCTGCGCTACTCAGTCTAATGGACCAATCAGAATGAAAGTTAGTCAGGGGGCAAGCTTCAAATGTTGAGTACACATACGTGATACCAACAACGTAACGGCCAGTCCCATTGATTATGACAGAGTTTACGAGAGACATTGAAAAACTGACTCACACGCAAAAGAAAGCCCTAAAAAATAATTTTGATGGAAATCAAGTCCTCACATACTCATTTTCTTTGTCCTTATCTTGATGTTTGATTGGACGATAAAATGTGAATGAAAATCAAGGGCAGGAAATTAAGTTTAGGTTTACCAAAAAGCAAGGCCAGGAGAAATAGAGGATGAACTAGATATTGCAAATGGTAAATGTGAGTTTGGATACGGCAGCTTACCAATCCTGAGGTCCAGCTCCTGTCTAACATCAACAGCGTCACTCACACGCTTGTCTGGAGCCTGGAGATTGCTGATGGCTCGGTTCACTGCACTGCAATGTTAGAATCATGCATAATACTACATTCAGAGAAACAGAGCTCCAGATAAGTTTTTGGTGTTGTGGGTATTTTACCCATGTATTTTAAAATCATTGGGTATCAGTAATTCTATCTGGGTATTCAAATTTCTGTTACCCACTAGATTTTAAACATGTGGGTATTTCAGTTAATTATTTAAACACTATTCATGTAGTCCCTGCAAACTGGTGTCGTGTGGGTTCGAGAGCTTTACAGGACTCAAAAATACCACGATACTTCCACAAGAAAGTGTGATGGCAAATGATCATGATGTACCTGTCATCGTGGAGCAAGGTTGACGGAATGCCCGTTTATAATTTCAAAATAAGTTGCTGATTTGCTAATCGAATACGCAGGGTTACTTCACAATATTTTGATGATACTCACAAGTTTTATTTTTGTAGTGTATCTGTAATGTCCGTTGCGTATTTGATACGCTTGGATTTTATTTTACTGCGTCTTTCTGCATTTCTGATGCGTATTTCATGCAGACAGCAGCTTATCTGGAGCTCTGGAGAAATGAGCAGACTTGGTACTGGTTTATGCTGTAGAGTGTTTGGTAGTGATGCAGGAGGGAATGAAATCTAATAATTAGATTCACACACTGACATATCTTTATCTATAGACGTTATTTCCCCAGACATCTGGATTTTGAATTATCTTCAACTACAAGCACGAGAAGCATGGATTACTTACTGGGGCGTAATTTCTGAAAACCTTGCTCGGTAGATTTCTATATTTGGCTTCACTGTAAAACATACAAAAATAAATGCATGGAGAACTCATACAAACAATTTCCTTGATAGGCAGATAAAAATTGTTAAAATAAACTTCTGTCAGCTCCTGCGAAATATGTACAACATTTAATTGATCATTTCAAAATGCAAATAATATTTTGTGACCCTAACTAGCACACCCAAAATATAGACTGACAATTAGCTATGGTTGCTAATATGGTTGAGCTGATAAGCACAAAATAAAAAGAAAGACACAAATGTCATGAAGAAGAATAAATGAAATGTACTTGATGTATCACAAATAAACAAAACAGGCAAAGAATAAGGGAGCTGGGATAAATGCTGCTGTTAACAATAATTCCATTCAGCATTTTACGTCAGTTCGTTGTAGGAAAGCTTGAAGTAATACAGGTTGTCAATATTTATAGCCATAGTGAAGCCAACCAGCATGAGCACAGGGACGACAGACCAAGCATCATCACTGAGTGGGTCTGGTGCATGAACCAATGACGAGCAGATTTCCACAGGTAACATGGCAGACACGCAACTGCAATTGAGGGGGCATGGGTGGTCCAGTACGTCTAAAGTGCCTTAATTTGCTGTGCAGAGATGTTCCCTCTGAGCAAGCTAGACACATATGATCAAGGGTTTGACTCCTGGTTTGCCCCGATTATGTTTCTAGGTTTGTCAGCACCATATCCGTGCCCATGGGTTTCACTCAAGTGGAAAACATATGAGACCTGCACCACTCCGGGCTTTGCTCTCAGATTAGGCTGAAATGCTGTGATATAACTAGAATAATGTTCAAAGTGGCATTAAACCTCAGTGATGGTGATAAGTTACTACATGTACTATTCATCTGTCATTTTAAGCCTTGAAAAACATCTGGTGTAAATATTTTATTGGACAATCTCAACTAACATACCTGACTGACAAACCTGGATCACTTCAAAACCAATGTTTTCCCCTTCTCTGTCACAATCAGTCCAAATTACAAGATATCTGCAACCCTTAATTTCTCTCTCCAGGGTACGCTAGAAATGAATACATCAATTTGAAACTGATGTGCTGTTAAAGAACTGTTTTAAGAAAATAATGATTGCAGTGGAGCATTTCTATCTCTACAAGGACAAATGTACATAGTTGGTAGGCCTCTTTTTTTTTACTTGCCATGGTTTAAAGGTTAAAATGAATTTATATTGGAAAGACTTTGTGATCTCCCAAAAAGATGATAAATAGGGATAAAAAACATAAGTGTATTAAGCCATAAGAGAAGCATGCCACTTGGCAAGTTTCACAAGTCAAAGAGATACTACACTTCAAATATTGCACACCTTTCATATTTCATTATCACAGAAACATTTTCAAATCACCCTTAGAAGAAGAAAGATTTCTTTTACAGTTATATTCTAACTTCTAATTTTAAGAAATAAAATCTGACTGCCATTCTATTAATGATAGTCATTTTGAAAAACCCATAAAATGATAACTTGTGTGTTGCTCACCTTGATGTCAACATAATTGTCAGGACAAGATTTGAACACTGGAAGGTCAAACAGAGATGTGGGACTACAGGAGTTCCTGGAAAAGAAAGTTGGGTTCATTTCAGTAAACACATGGTAAAAAGGGAAATTGTTAAGTTATCTAACTCACTACTACAAATGCTTAATCCCTTGAAAAACCCACTGTCCATCTGATATTGTCAACAACAGATACTTATGACAACACACTGATGAACTTGAGAGCAACTATTATATCATAATTACGGTCCAGGAACATATGAAGACCGGAAAGGGTTATCCTCTGGCTACATTAATATTTCGATTTCAAGGTTTTCATTCTTCAGAGACAAGTGTTTACCGAACCATGTTCACAGAAATTAGTAACATCTAAATATTTTTTTACATTTGTATACTTATCCTGCATTACTCCTTAATGCATTTACTCCTTATCTTACGACAACATAATTTAGTGTGGTAGCCGAAGCTAACAGCCTAAAAAAATCTAACAGTTGAGGAGCCCAGCTGAGACACATCATCTGTTACATGACAGACAGTAATGTGATAGGTGATATTCCATCAAGGTCACTTGACAGCGGTGATGGTCCATGTTAAAAATGGGATTTGAAAACAAAACAAATTTTCTCTTCACCCAAGACCATCGCTAGGCACTATCCTTTATTGTCATAAGGAAAGCATTAAATGCAATAAGGAGTAATGCAGGATAAGTACAAAATTAGCAGTATGACTGTACTGTTTGGCCAGGTAGGTAATTAAAATATCAACTTTAACATGTTTAAAAAATAAATGTTAACTTTTCATGGTCAGCAAGTAGGAAATGATGAGGATCTAATAAACCCAAATAACACATTCTCCTTCAACAAAGTAAATGTACATTTCAATAAAAATCAGTTCATCAAAATTAATGAAAGTCCATAAGTCTAAAAACTGTAACATTCCTTACTGACTACCACTTTTACCATTAGGTAGTTGACAACTCTATTGCAGATCAGTTTTGTGAACTGGTGTAAATAAAATATTAATTTCTACCCCTGCAATTGTAATAGAACATACCATTTCCTGTACTGAGTTCCAAAGTCCATCCCCAGGAGATGTCCAGACACTGAAGTCATTGTCATGGTACATTGTTGATTTAGTATACGATAATCAAACTCGTAAATCTTATTGAATCTGGAAAACCCTTCCCTCTGAAAGAGAATTTATTTCGGGTTTACTAGCTGAAAACATGATACAATACAAACAATCTTGTACACATGCTTGAAATTCATGAAAAACATGTTCACTACTCATGAATAAATAGAACAATTTTGGCTTCTTGCAACTTAATAACTTATCCCATTGTTTTGTTTCTGGATGGATGACCCAAGGAATATCCTACTGAATCTTTCTGTCAATAATTAATTTTGAAAGGTTAACCTAATTTCATAATCCTCCAAAAATCATCAGTGGTTTCCATTATCTTCTCTTCTAACAGTACAAGCCGGTTTTATCTGGCATTGGAAGACATCAGTAACTCATGTTACTACTTGAACTTTTCAGTAGTATCTATATTTCAGTAAACCCTTTTCTATGTTTCTATACAATTCCCTCTGTGCCATCATATTTTGCTTTATGAAATAATAAATAAGGCATAATTTAGGATATTTGATCCTGATGGACGTTGAAGCCTAGCTCTTTAACGTAAGAGACATGTCACTATTACAATATGTACCACTCAATAACACCTTCCAAAACCCCCAGATATAATACCTCACCTTTCTATATCCTCCCCTTGACATAACATCTGCCAAAGATTTGGCAGCATCATTCTTTTCTGCAACATTCAGGACACGAACCATTTCAGACACATTACTCCGAAATCTAACAAAAGTTTTGAACATCACACATGAAGCTCAAGGATGTTTAATTCTGAAAATATGACATTTATTCTCAAACAAAAACATAATTTGCATTGCATAAAATTTCTGAGCTCCAATTTGCCGCCATTTTGATGAGTTCAAGGTCATGCACGGTGTCCAGTGGTTTGTTCTAAAAGTTCGATCACGAGTTCAGAATGAAACATGACACGAACAGCTGAAACTCTTCTTTTTTTTAAAACAAAACATTGCATAAGAGTAAGTTCATGCTACCCAAATTAAAGAAAATAGACACTCAATGTAAATTGACATTTCTGATAGTTATTTATCACTTGCTTTCCGTATCATAGTTCAATTTCATAATTTGAAAGAAATCGTGAAATCTCGCACTTGTTTACTTCCGGTTGAACCTCTTGCATAAACGTAACATATGAGCTTATTTTATAACAACTGACATATCTTTGTATTTCGACCCCTGTATTTTTCTCACGCCAATGGTTAGACCAGTAACGAAGGTAATGATCGTTGCACGATTGGTATATCAGATACTGCCCCGTTTTCCGGGCATTTTCATACAAAGACGCAAGTATCGAGGATAGGCCTATAACCTTCAGCATCACAAGCAAGGCACATTTCATCTCGTAGTAGTACATGTATGTCCAAAACGTTAGCCTTTGTTGCTGTTGTTTTTATTGCTAAAATACCGGTGTTAGAAATGATATCATTGTGGTGTGGTGCTGGGTTGTGGTTAGGTAATTTTGATGACCGGGAATAATTAGCTATATAGTTGGTGATGTCGGTCTTGATGTTTCAGGATAAGAAGCATTTGCTGAGACCATGCTAAGACTGATGTTCACACGGCAGTGCCTTGCTGTTGCCCAGTTATGTAAAACACAACAAACTTGTACAAGGTAAATATATTATGCCAACACCAGATAATAACCAGTCTTGATTGTGCAAAATCGTGATGAAATACAAAAAGAATGTGTCCATTTGATGTAGATGTGTAGTAGAACAGTAGTGTTGATCTTGGCTTATTAACCATGTGCATTGTACTGCCAAGGCAGCGTCCTCGCAGGATTCTTGCAATATTGATTGGCGCACACTGTTTACCCTCAGTGGGACATTTGGCGCATTCATGTCTATTATCCCCTGCTATGAAGTGGAAGGGGGGTATAGGAATGGGTCCTGTCCGTCCTTCCATCCATCACGTTTTGTTTCACGAGCAGAACTAAAAAAACATTAGATATATCTTAACCAAACTTGGCACATAGATAGTAGTGGTGAACTGGTGCCTTTTGAAAGTTTGGGATTTTTAAAAATTTATTTTTTGAGTTTACATGACAATGACTTTGACTGAAAATGGCACATCTGGCAGATCTTGAAAGTTCTTTTGGGAGTCACTGTCTGTCTCAAAAATACTTCACATCACTCAGACAGCTGTTTCTATTATTGAATGTAAACATCCTGATTTTTGTTGCCTTTTGTGTCTCAATTTACAATCAGCGCCTTTCATTGGCTGAAAGTCACAATCAGAATCGAGCTTCACATTTTTTGCAAATATAGATGTCGTAGTTCTGATAATGCTAAAAATGTTTGCACCTCAAGTCACCTGGCTTCGTGCCCTCACTTGGTTGCAGCATAACTCAGAAAGAATTACTATGAAACGTGAGCTTTGTATAAATCATCTCACATCTAATTCAATGACAAAACTAAATAAAACATGAGTACCTTGAAGAGAAATGCTAATGGCAGTGTTCCCAGACAAGCTATTGAAACTAAATATGTGATATCAGATGTGGTTACTGCAATATGTTAACCTGAGAAAGATGCCATGTGAAACATTCTGTGTATCAGTAATGTAACTTGTGGACAGTGGTTCTGCATCAATAACCTGCATACCTGGTTTTGAGTTTAATATGATCTCTCAGAGTGTGGCCCTGAAAGTTTTTAAAATGACTTTATGTATGTATGCTGAAGGGGTCCCTGTCCCCACTTTTTCAGTTTCTAAGCAGAACACTGTCATGCAAATGCTGGGCTATGACTACTGACAAACTGCTTTTCAAAGTTTTTAGAACACCCCAAGATATTGCAACTTATTTATGTTTATTGTTTCAAGTGAAAGGATTATATTGTCAGGTGCAGTGCTCCACTGACAACTCTATTTTGTAAGGTGAATATCGAAACATCGTGTACACCATTCCCTGAAGTAACATAATACGTTACCAGCAGTATGTAGAATGTGGTCAACATTTTGAGTGATGTAGTAGGTCACGATATGTGGTCACTACAATAAAAGATATGTATTTTACAGTGTCAGTAATAACAACACATGAAACCTGCAATATTTTGGATTACACTTTCTCAGTAATGTACAAATTCTACCACGTTTTTGGATGGATTCCCATCCGGGATTTAAACCCACACAAGTTAGCAAGGTAGCCACCAAGGTTGACTTTGGCTAACTGGGTTAGGTGGCTCACTGAGAGTGTGGGTACAAATCCTGGATAGGACTCCATCCAGCATATAAAATGTTGCATTTGACTACTTCCTAGAAAGACATTGTCTAGTCAAAACAGATGGAAGATTCATATGTAGCATTAGAAATCAACCTAAACACTTCATTAGCTATCGTAAACATGGGGCAGAAAAATTTACTAGCCTAGATGAATATGTTTAAATTACTTTCTTATTAAGTGGAAGGTGTTAAAAAATGTATAATTTAAATATCAATCAAAGCAGTGTTATGACTCATTCACTTAGTCCTGATAATATTTGCAAGCCAATGAAGGGTTATAGGTGGTTCAAGCTCTTTCATGTGGAACTATAGACAGTCTACAGTAAATTCAATCAAGTCTAAGATAATAATATGTCTACAACATATGATTGTTATCTATGTTGAGTGTGGAGACACAGGTGGCCCAGTCATCTAAGGCGCTGCAATTTGCTTGCGATTCGCTGCTGCGATTCGGAGTTGCGTCCTTAGGGCGCACCAGAAACCTATAATTGTGGGTTCGAATCCTGGTTCACCCTGATTATGTTTTTAGGTTTGTCGGCACCATACCCGTGCTTGTGGGTTTCACCAAAGTTGTAAACATCTAAGACCTGCATCACTTTGGGCTTTCCTCCCACATTAAGCTGACACACTGCGATATACCGTAACTGGAATACTGTTAAAAGCGCCATTTAAACAAACTCACTCACTCATGTTGAGTGTTTCCTGTAGCTTGATATCACAAGGACAGTTGGTCTTGGGTCCAAGAATTATTAAGTCGGTCAATCAGTATCATGACCATAGAATTTAAATGAAGAATGCATGTGGCTTTTCAGCAAAAAAAACCCCACAGATCACAAATATACCTTCGATAGTACAAGCTTTGGAGAGTAGATGTCACAGCACTCAGAAACTACAAGATGTATATTATAACAGCACAGTCTTGGGCATTTGTAGTTCCGTAGATTTTCGTTTGCAAGATACATAAATCAAATATATGCTTGTCTGAATGCTTCCCTCACGATATATTTAGAAGAATTTAGATTGGCTGATCGCAAAGTTCATCCGAGGACTTCAGGGATGAGTGTTGCCTTTTGAGTTACATTGTGGTTTATTGTGATATATAAGATAAATTGTGAAGAGCAATGCAGAACAAAACGTGGTTTATTTCACAATAAAACATTGTTCTATCATGGCATCCTTTCTGGAGATTAGAAAATGCGCTTGCAACTTGATGACGTCATATATTGGACAAATTCTTAAAAGGGATGAGATAGGACACGGTATGAGGAGAAAAGGTACAGATAATCAACGTGAGAATATGTAGGGAAATACCAAACATAACCAACCTCATTAAATAGACTTGTCCGACATTGCAGAGGTATGATTCTATTCATCACATGTATTAAACTTAAAGGTGACTATTTTTAAAGCTTGCACATTTTATGAACATCCTCAAAAAGTCTGTACATGATAGGGGTGTTCATTAAAGATTTCCCCCGACCCACTTCCGATGGACCTATTGGAATGAAACTTGGCATAGGTATTAGTCTTTCTTCACATAGGAACCACCAAGAGTTACACACTTCTCCCATCGTTTTATGCAACTATGGAGACCTCGCTTGTAAAAGCCCTCATTTTGCATCTCAAACCAGGACTTGACTTCAAAAATCAGTGTTTCATCATCTGTGAAACGTTTTCCCTTGAAAAATGACTTCATGGTTGGAAAGAGGTGGAAGTCAGATGGTGCAAGGTCAGGAGAGTAAGGAGGATGTGGAAGGATTTCATAGCCACAGGACCGCGCTTCTGTCTGGGCAACAATAGAGTTGTGTACTGGAGCATTGTCTTGCAGGAGACGGACACCCTTGGTCAGATTGCCACACCTCCTAAGCTTGATAGCGTCCCGCAACAGTGAAGCATAATTAGCTCCTGTAATTGTGGTACCCTTTGCCAAGAAATCCATCATCACTACTCCATGCTGGTCCCAAAACACCGTGAGCATGACCTTGCCTGCAGAGGGTTGGACACATGCCTTCTTTGGGGGTGGTGACTCCACATGCTTCCATTGCATCGACTGAACTTTAGTCTCAGGATCATAGTGATGGACCCATATTTCATCCGGTGTGATAAGTCTGTCCAAAAAGTTTGCCTATTTTTGGGGGCACATGTCCAAAAGATCCTTTGAGCAAGTGACTCGTTCCTGCTCTTGGAAAGGTGTTAGCAACCTGGGAATCCATCGTGCAGACACCTTATGCATGTTCAAATTGTCATGGATGATTTTTTTCACAGACCCTACACTGATCTTGACATCTTGTGCTAACTGGCCAACAGTTATACATCGATCTGCCAAAATGGCGGTCTCCACTTGATGGATAGTGTCCTCATCAATGGCTGAATGGGGGTGACCAGGAATGGCAGCTGTTTCCAAGGATGTCTGACCACACTTGAACTGGCGATGCCAGTGTTTAACAAACGTCATATGATGGGGCATCTTCCCCATAAGTTGCTTTCATTTCATCGAAAGTATCTTTTGGTGTGCGACCTTTCAAATATAAAAACCTAATCACTGCTCGGTATTCTACACACCCTACTCGATCATAACACCTGTAAAAGTGGTAAGATTAATAGTTTGGTGCTGCAAATTCAGACAGAACCCATAGATACATGTATCATTACACATGTGAAATTTCAACCAAATATGATAACCCTAAGTGGTTTAGGGGAAATCTTTAATGAACACCCCTCGTATGTTGATATCTCATATAAGAAACGACTGCACCCCTCACGGTTTATTCTCCCTGCTGTTTTACTGTACATTTAACAACTCATCTTTTACTTCTTAAATGCAGTGGCTGCTGCAACACATACCTGATAATAATAATGTGGTTCTTTTATAGCACTAGCCTCATACTCTTGGTGCATGCTCAAAGCAAAAACATTATTACCCCGGTCATTGGTTCAGCGTGCAGTCGATTTTCATTCTCATCTCCCTGTGGAGTATACAAACCATGCTGCCTTATCATGTAATAGAAGGTTAAGTCTCATTCCATCTCACCCAACCGGGTTATTTTTACTACTGGGTGAAGAGGGGCACATTCCAACCAAGTCACTTGCCTTAGGAGACACAGGACCAAAACCCTAGAAGCTCTCGCTGTCACGCTGCTGATGGGGTCACCCATCCCACTACCATCCGAGACCAACCTTGCTCAGCTTTACCTGATTTGTGACATATATATTTACTGCAAGCAATTTGTTAGTTCATTTGACATTGCTAAATTTGAGCATGTTTTTGTTGGTTTGGTGTTGGGTTTTTTCAGTTAATATGCAAGGGTACATAATTATTATTTAGAATTTCTAGTTGGGCAATAGAAAATTTTTTCATTGTTCTTTAAACTGTTGTTTTGTGATTGACCTGTTCATCAATGATTATATAGTAAAATTATTATATCAAATTGCAGAGCTTTACATGCAACATGTGCTCAGAGGGCTTCAAGGAGACATAAGACAGAGGGTGATGAAGCGATACAGTTTACAGGCAGCAAGGCAGCATCATGGAACACACAGGACAGTTTTGGTCCTCCGCGGAGAGATATGCCCTGGTACCAGCCAATCAGCATCAGTTTAAGTCTGGCAGTTTTCCTTACATATTTCATGTTCATCAGGGAAGAAAATGATGTTGATATAGAACTTAATAAGTCCTTGTTTGAGAGAGTGCCAGGGCTTGAGGAACAGCAAGTTAAAATGGCCATTAAACATGGTCAGGAGAGAGGAATGGATACAACAGATCTTGAAATGAGAATGACAGAAATTCTTGACCAAAAACAGATGTCAAAGAATTTGTGACTAATGTGACAATAACTTTATAAATGATGTTTTGTGTGAAATAAAATCTTTTGACAGTCCACATTCAGCTGGGTTTTATTTTGAAGAGACAAACCCAAAAATCATGAAAATATGTTCAAACCAAATGATGATCCTTGACTTAAGATAGTTACCTAAATTCCAAAATATGATCCAGATACTTAACATGTTCAAGTCCCTGAAAATCATGCAATTTGCTTGCAGGGTATTCTTAAATTGTCCTCTCAAAGTGAACAAATCAAAAAGATTCAAGGGACCTTCTCTTGATTGCCAAACACTGAATGGGTTAGCTCTAACCATATACGTAATATTATTATTTTTAAATTATATACTCACCCCCAAAATAAACACGAACCACAGAAACATAGCAAATTATGTCCATTAGAAGTGAAGTTTCTGAAGTGGACAACTTAATGACAAAACAAACATGCAGTCAAGTGTTAACAGTGCTTGTATTCTAGTTATGATATGCTGCACGAATCTGTGGATTCACGCTAACAGTATGTTCATGTGGATTAACAGTATATTCATTTGTTTATCGAACCAATCAAATATATCTTATATACGAGTAATTTTACATATATTAACTAACATGTACTGTATTCCTGTTTCTTGTGTTGGCGAGTATAGGTTTTAGACTTGTTTTATACAGGAAAGTCTACCCAAAATGTACAATTATTTCATATTTTTATAACAGATAATTGGTAGGTGGCCTGAATTGGTATTGCTATACTAACATGATAACTGTTTAATAGGCCTTTATTGGTTGCTTTGTTGTTTAATGCCGCACTCAGCAATATTACAGCTATATGACGGAGGTCTGTAAAATAATCGAGCCTGGACCAGACAATCCAGTGATTGACATCATGAGCACTGATCCACGCAATTGGGATCGATGACATTTATCAACCAAGTCAACGAGCCTGACCACCCGATCCCATTAGTCGCCTTTTATGACAAGTACAGGTTGCTGAAGACCTATTCTAACACGGAATCTTCACAAGTCATAGGCACTTATTGGAAGTTGACGGATCACAAAGTAGACACAATTTATGGATAACAACTTTATTTTATTAAAGTGATGTTTTGCTAATTTTGCGAAACATGTATTAGGATTCCCTGAGCAAGAGCAAGGGCAATACATGAATACAAAAAGGAGTTTTGTAAATCAGTATGACACACATGCCAGTGTTAACATCTTTTCATTACCCATTATTTCTTAATCCTTGAGCTCCCCTTTAGAAAATACACTGTTCCAACTTCTTGGAAGGCTACAATTGTCAAATGACATCAATCTTCTTCTGTGGTATTGTTTCTAGTCATTCATCACACAGACATAAAAAAAATGTTGTCTGGACAACGATAGTGATGCATGCATAGTGATATGTGCACTCATGATTTTTATGAACTTGGTCATTTCCAACCCTATGTGAAACAGCCAAAAAGTGAGCAAGACTAACAAAAAAAACAGACATTGGATCCTACCCCAAAAAAATCCATGCAGTAGTTTTCAATCAAACTTTGCATGGAACATCTTCTATTAGTATGGAAACAGTTCCCTACTTTGTACTGCTGTATTGAACATGTTCACCCAGCAAGATTCATCAGTATACACCCACTAGGTCGGGTCCTGTCAGCTGCAATCTAAGCCCCAATGTGAGAAAGCATTTGAAAATGCAGACATAAATAGACTGATCCATAATTATTCTGAAATTCTTCGTCCTACTCCCAAGTTTGACCAGCTTATAGTACACAAAGCTTATAGTATGGTCAAATGCTATTTATACTAAACATACCCGTGTGTTATATGCACCCACTAATTCTGGAAAATATGTCGTACATAAACATTTCAGGCTGTCGGCATAAACCCCGAAATGTATCTTTCAAAGGTACTTCTCAAATTTGTCAAATAATGGTTAACATGAGAGTCCATCTGTTTTAAATTCCCTAACAATACAATGCAATGTCAAAGTTGATTTTTTTTTTTAATAATTTCACGTTTGTGCCATATTTTATTTGACTGGCAGTGGTACAAAGGACAGGCAACAGTCATCCAAAACAGGTTACTTTCATAGGTGGAGAGGAATGACCCTGACAGTAACTAATCACTCCAGACTTCCATGTTTCGCCATGTTATTTTAACAGAAGGGAGCTATTAAAGATCTGCACCGGTCCTGTGTTAGTGAATACAAAATGACATCAACATCTGGAGCGTTGCACAGTTTCAATATTGACTTTTAATTTCATCAACTTAACATTGTATTAGTGGGGAAAGCCATTTCTATGAAACCTCCCAACTAGTGATCCCATCAGTCAGTTTGTCTTCTGTTTCCAACATGATCAGCAATTTATATAACACCTCTTTTGTCCTCACCACCTTACACAATTTTAAATAATTTCATTACTTGTCAAACACTTGTGTCAGATTTTTCCATCCATTTGTTCCACTGTTCTTGAAAGTCAACAGAACACACACATTGGTTGACCAAGTTTTTAATTTTCATCATCCACTACAAAAAAAATGTTTTTGAAATCGAATGATTTAAGATACGGATGAGAAATGACATGCTGCGGGTTTTATCTTCCTGATATTGTTTGACACTTAACACCAATAAAAGACAGTCCATCACACAAACACTAAAAGAACTTTTGTCTACATTTATTATGAGACGATACACATAAAACAATGATAATGGTAAAAGGCTAGCCTATATTACATAGCAGAGAAGAAAATGATAGCGACAAGATGGACCAGACGAAAAGAATCCTTCAGAAAATAAGTTACGATTATATAAATCACTTGATCTACTACCTCTTGAGAATCTTTAGATGACAATATAAAAATTCACTCCAACCATATTATGAAATTTGTAAAACTGGTTCAAAAAATGATCCTGATGTGCTGGGATGATGGCTTCATGAATGTAAAAGTCTGTCTTGAATTTTTTGAGTCACTTATGCACGTTCACCACGAATTCTCCTGGCGAGTTGAATGTCTTTGGGCATGATGGTCACTCTCTTTGCATGAATAGCGCACAAGTTAGTGTCCTCAAAGAGTCCGACCAAGTAAGCCTCACTTGCCTCCTGCAAAATGAAATTCTTTGGTTAACAATCTTTACCTAGAAATTCATAAAATGTGAATCTTGGAATGCAAAACAGATAGTCAAAAAATCAGTTGTAACCACATATATACATTACTCTCTTATCACTGATCAATTATCAGGTCACATTTGTGGGAGCTATTTAGTTTGGAAACCATATGTGCATTAAATTTTATGTTTATCTCAAACAAAATGTTAATGAGTGTAACAAACCTGCAATGCTCCAATAGCTGCACTCTGGAAACGCAGATCTGTCTTGAAATCCTGAGCGATTTCTCTGACCAATCTCTGGAATGGGAGTTTTCTGATCAGCAATTCAGTTGATTTCTGGTAACGACGGATTTCTCTGAGGGCAACAGTTCCAGGCCTGTATCTGTGGGGTTTCTTTACACCACCAGTGGACGGGGCACTCTTTCTGGCTGCCTTAGTAGCAAGCTGCTTACGAGGAGCCTTACCACCAGTTGATTTACGTGCTGTCTGCTTTGTACGCGCCATTGTTCAACTGAAAATGGAAAATTGGAATACATGTAACAACAAATCACCCCTCACATTTAGAAAGGCCATGACAATTTAGATTCCTTACATCAGAGCATCACAGCAAAAAATCCAGTTGTTACTCAATAGCCCAGTATGTCCAGCTGAAAAGTAGTAGAAACTAACAGTTTTAGCCTACTAGTCCCTATGATAACATATCAAATCCCTTAAAAATGGCAAATTTCTACTTGTCATTATGATACCTTAACTATTGGGCAGTTTGGCAAGTACTTCAGGACTAGTGCCAATTTCTATCACTGCTGAAACATTTCTTTCATCTTGTCTAGGAACTAACTTGTTATACTTACCGGAACAAATAATACTTAACTGGACTGGGCAAATCTAGTTGAAGGCAGATACGACAATCAGTACACTGATCAAGATGGGGAAACAATATATCTTTGGCTAGGTTGCCACCAAAATGCCATGTAGGCCTATATATTTGAGTGATGCATAAACTGTCGGAAGGTAAATTACTAAAAGCTTATTTCTGTTTCAAAATAAAATACATCAGATGGCTAATGCAAGCAAGACATTGCATGTATAAGATTCTGTACAATTTTGGCTTGGCTGAATAGTTCATATTGACAACAGCAAAATGGCGGGAACACTGCACAAGGCGGATAAGGTTGAAATAAGAACATAAAAAAACCAGAAAATAACAAATTGAGACTTATATATACATCTAATGAGGCAACTCTCGTACTTTTTAGGTCATGAATTTGACTTGGCAAGCCCAAACCAGCGTGTTGGTCTATTAATAGCATCTGTTCAGTTTATCAACAAAGATCAACTATCATCGAATAATTAGACAATGCCATTACTAAAATTCGTTGCGATTTAATATTAAGAATATATGGGTACATAACAAGCTTAAGGACACATACTTATCACATTGTCACCATTTCCCTTCCGAAAAATAATGTCAGCCTGTCAAAATATACACAGCGTGCCCCAAGAACATGGCGCCTACACGGAAACTTCCCACTACGTAAACCGTTAACGTTGGTTGGTTTTAGTCAGTACTTTAAGAATATTTTTTTATTTCTTTCACTTCACCTACACGAAAAAACTCTTAGAAGGGATTTGGTACATTGTACCCACTTACCGAACGGAGAAAACTGCTTCCTTTCCTTGTTGAGGTAGAAATTTTACAATTTGCCGCACAAATCGCAACGAACGATGGTTATGAATACATTACCTGCCTTCGTCATGGGCTGTACCCATTGGTTCGTGTCTCTACAAAGAGAAGGGTTTCGATTGGACGCTGAAACAGACATTTCATTGGCTAGTGTACGACAAACCTCTGACGTCCATTGGATGAAAACTCTCAACACCCATTGGTCAGATTTCGATCCGCTTTTGATCCGTCTCCCAAGTTGTGATGTTTCTGTTCAGCAAAAGCA